TCTTTAAAAATAATTATAAAATTTCATATAAATACTCAATAGGTCTCTCTAAAGAATTTAAAGTAAGAATCTAATATTTCAACCAATCAATTTATCTATATATATATATATAATGCTATTCTATGCATTAAATAGGGTATGCATTTATATATATAATCTAATATATAAAATATATAATAATAATTTTTATACATACCCTAAGCATTAAATAAACACTAAAATTTCTCATTTATTTTAATTAAAAATGAATAAATTATTTAAATAAATCTATTTAATAAGTTCAACATTTTCATCTTCTCATATTCTTATCTTCCACTTCTTATATATCTTAACATTCTCAATTATTTTGTAATTATTAGTTTTCATGACATAAAAAATATAATATAATGTATCAAATCAAAGGAAGATAAATAGATGCTCAAATTTTATGAAAAGTAAAAATATAGGATTGTAATGCATTACATAATAACTATTTGTGCAGTTACAACTTTTTCTAACCATTTTGTTTTCTTCTTCTACATATATAGTTCATTATATAAGAAAAAAATATGTTTGATTCTTCTCTCTAAAGATATTCTCTTCATTATCCTTAATTTTGTATTGCTATAAGTCTATTTCTTGAAATTTGCTTCTCATTATTCACAATCCTTCAATTTATTCTCAAATCAACAATGAGATAAGTATTTTTTTTCCTCTTTATTGTTTCCCCCTCTAAATTTTTTTCTAACAAATTTTTCTTTCTCAAACCTAATAATTATATTTAATCCCTATAAAATATTCTCGAGTCAACGTGTTTACAAAGGTAAATGTAATCAATTCAAATATGCAACTTACAAATAGAAAGTGTAATTATAAATACATTTGAAAATACTTATTTTGAATCCTTTGACCTTTTTTATTTATTCAAAACATCAATTCTTCTTAATTCTCTTTTAAATTATTCGTATGTTACATTTTGGACAAATAGTTATAAATTATTGTATTATTTCACCACCAAGTGATATCTACCTATATTTTTATATTTATCTGTTTATTTATATTCATTATCTATAATAAAATCCACTAACTACATTAAATAGGGTCTGTACCCTAAACTCTAATTATTACTCATACCATTTTGGACATTACATTTTGGACAAGTAGTTATAAATTATTGTATTATTTCACCACTAATTGATAAATATTCATATCTATATCTTTATATTTATCTGTTTATTTATATTTCTAATCTATAATAAAATCCATTGACTACATTAAATAGGGTTTAAAACTTAGCGAGGTAGTGAAAATGAATGATATGAGTTATAATTAGAGTTTATTAATTTTTTAAAAAAATTAATCTTAACTAGTTCATATTGTATGTTGTATTATGTCATATTTTAGATTTTAATAATCTAGAGATTTTAGATAGAAAGCCAAAAGGTAGAGGAAGTGAGAATCTAGTTATTCTCATGAAAATGCAATAAAATATGAAAACACAAAAACACAACAGGTATAAAGGGTTCAGAAAGCCTTAATTAGGATTTTTTTTATAAATCAATTAAAAACATAATCATGATTACAATTATTATAAATCTCAATTAAAAAGAAAAGTTATACTTCATTTTAAATGAGAGAAAAAAATACAAATTAGAACAATGTAACTTAACTAATGAATGAAATTAAAATTGATGGTAGAAAAAAAGGTCTGGATAGTGGAAAGGAATGGTATGGGTTATATTAGTATTTTAAAAATAAATCTCAATTAATTCATATTTTATATTACATCACAACATATTTTAGATTTTAGTAAACTTAGAGATAGAAAGGTAAAGGGTAGAGGAAGTAAGAAATCTAATTATTTTTATGAAAAAACAATAATGTAGAATGTTCAGAAAACTTTAATTAGGATTTATTGAGAAATTAATAAAAATATATAACCAAAAATTACAATTATAATATTATAATTGAAAATGAAACACTAATATAGACATGCTTTATTTTAACATATTCTATAATATAATCATTGAAAAATTATTATTTTTGAATTTGAATTAAAAGTGAAAAACTTAAAATAGTAAATCTTAATAACTAAATTAATGGGTATTGGTAAGTGTTAAATCAAAAGGTATACGATATTTTTTTTTTTAAATGAAAAGCTACCATGATACTAATAAAAATCATAATACATATAAATAGTAATTATAGTGTTCTTTTAATGGTAATGATAAATGAAAAGGATTTTAGAAATAATTTATAATAAATGATTTATCGAGAAATTACTCATTGATTTGATTAATAAATTCACCAATTATGAGAAACCACTTGAGGAAAAAAAAAAAGAATTTTTCATTTTTTTTATCTTAATAAGATTTTTAAAGATGTCTAAACATATTTTTTATTTGCCCATAAAATATTTAGTTATTTTTCTAAATCTTAATATGATAAATTATACCATAAAAGTTTAAACTTATTAAATTTATTTATACTAAAAATAATCAATATAAACATAAAAAGAAAAATATCGCATGCAATCAATCAATTTACAAAACTAGTTGTTATATATAATTCAAACGCCCTTCCTCATATACTTAAAGAAAATATTTTAAATTCCAAACATCTTGACTGGATAGGAACTTTATAATATATGATAACGATACAACTTTCATGTCCTTTCTTTCATCAAAATATCACAAATCTTGTTCGTCGTGGTATTTTAATATTAGAATCAATAATATATGCTTCTTTTATGTAGTGATTAAAAGATTTAATGCCAGAAATCAGATTATAAGTAAAGGGTTTGAACATTATACAAAAAGTCATATACCGTTTTATGACAGTATCCATTTTTTTTCATTTCTGGCATTAAATGAGATTTAGTTTTTTTTTTTTTTTTGGTACGTTGGATATGAGATTAAGTTTTGTTAAGGCACTATCCATGTTCTGACAAATTTGGTAGTAATAGAAGATAACAATGAAAATATTGAGACATCAAATTCTTTTGTTATGAAATGGATGGATACATCCGATAAGAAGTAACTGTTTGTACCAAATTCTTCTTTCTGATCAATCAATACCCATTTCCAAGAGAGGGGAAGAATTTGGGAAGAGAGAGTTGTCACTTAACTTTGGCCAGTTTGACCTTCACTTGTCAATATTTAATTACTAATAATTATTGTTCTGTAGATAATTCAAACACCTTTATGTATATGTTTAAAGAAAATATTCATTAACAGTTTGACTAAACCGAAATTTTATCATATATAATAATGATATAACTTCCATATCCTTTCTTTTATCAAAATATCACAAATCTTGCTTTCCTTAATATATATTTTGACATTAGAATCAATAATATATGCTTCTTTTATGTAGAATTCAACCAAGTATAATGTGTACATAATACTATAGATTACTACAATCAAATTCAGGAGTTAAGAAAAGGCAAAATCTTATGTTATCTCCCTAAACTTATTTTAATAATCCAGAAGAATTATTAATAAATATGTCCTTAAATTTGTAAATACAAGCAATTTAGTAATTTTTGTTATTACTGAACACATATTTGTACCTTAAACAAAAAATATCAATACCCGTTATGTAAATAATAATATGTTAATACATTATCTATACAAGCAATACATAAATGGGTATATAGTTTGACATTAAAAAAAAAAAAGTTAAATTGTTTAAATTATTAAGTTTAGAGATTTATTTATTTTAATAAAAATTTAAAGAATTTAATTAAAAATCTAAAATAAATTTAAAATTTTAATGTAGAGTTTTGTCTTCTTAAAAAAAAAAAAAAACACACACACACATGAGGAAAACCCATTAATATCCCAAACCAATATATTGCTCATTTTCAATCATGAAATTATTGCTTGTTGCGTAGAAAGTCCGTCAAGCCGACATACGGGCAGTGACAGAACGATTCAATGAGATAAGCATAAAATGGACTTTCCTACACATTGGGCCCACGCCATGAAGTTGGAGAGTCGGATTGTCCCAGGTGAACAATAATTTCAAGTGCTGGGTCCGGCCCACGTGGTGAATCATGGCCCATTGTCATAGCAAAGCTTTACAGTGCACACGTGGGAAGGGACAAGGAGTGGGGTCCGATGCACCGATGACAATGGCAGGAAGATGGAGAACTACGGGAATGTTGATGAGTGAAAATTCAATGTAGTTTCATAAGAAATCTAAGCTGTCGGGGAGATTTTCTGGGAATTTGATGGGGATTTCGAGAGAAAATAAGCCTATGTTTGTATTGGATGAAAAAGAAAGAAGAAAAATCATATCGAATTGCTCTTTTCAGTACAAATTTAAAATTTATAAAATACATTTAAAAGTATTAATGTTTTATCATATGAACTCTGATAAATTATAAAATTTGAGTTAGGTAAAATTTCTCGTAATAAAATGCAGCAAAAAGGATCACAATTATGGAAGAAAAACTTGCTTTTTATTTATTTATTATATTTAAAGAAAAGTTATATATTTTATAATTTAAATTATATTATATTATAAAATAAAAATCATTAAATAAGAGACATAACCCTTAATGTCTAATAATGCATTCATCCATAAAAATAAATATTATATAATTTGACATAATTTAAACTATAAAATATTTTTTTTCTCGTAAGAATAAGTTTTTTTAATACAGAAAAGACTGATGATCAAGCAAACATGGCAATGGTAGCATGTTATCTAAAATCCCATGACTGACACTAGTGACTCTAGTCACTCTACACGTTTCCTTTTTGATCTGGTCCACTCCCAAATTCCCAATGCTTTTCTGATTTCAGCCTGTGATATATGGAACTCAAAGATGCTAAGGATGAGAACTACAGTTTACAACATATAGATCAACTCTGCATGTACATGCACGAATATGTTTTGATTTGAGAGAGAGAGAATACCTCAAAGGAAAGTGGAGCAGTAGTTGAGCTGTAGCGATGAAGAACATGACCATTCTTGTCAACTACAAATTTGGTAAGTTCCACTTTATCCAAAATTCAAAGAACCTAGGTTTACTAGCTTTTAGAAATTTGTAGACATGGTTCTGTAATTGGGCCATTTACGTGAACCAAAAGTACATATAGCATATACAAAGTTGTGCATCGAACTGTTAACACAGACAGGAAGGTCCAGAACATACTGTTCTAATCATTAATCAGTGATGCAGTCACAAGCAAACAGTAAGAATGATTTTATTTGTTTTTCGGCCCACGAACAGTCAGCATAGTGATGATGAACCATTTAAATCGAAATGTCCTACCTCCTTCGCAGAGAGAAAAGTGTATATAATATCAATCAATCATCCAATCAACATCTAATAAATCACGATACAATCACCAAATTCTAATAAACCGACAGAAAGTTGGACTATAACCTACAAAAGACAGGATTCAAACCTCGGATTGAAAGTACTAAAATCTTTATATTAAAAGATAGATATAAAAACTTGTAATATTATGATAGTGAAAACAAATGAACATGATTAATAAATTAAAAATATATAATTTCACTACCTTGACTCTGATTGTTCAGTTTTCATTTGACTTAAATCTCTAACATGTTCTTATTATTTTGTCTATTATAACTTTAATATATTGAAAAGTAAAAAAATTTCTTTAAAAACTTAAATCTCTATTTTGAAAAACATAAAAAATCCTGATCAACAAATTTGATCAGAAGTAAATTTTATTATTGATTTGATTTAAAAACTTGAGAAAACATTCAGCGATTTAATGATTAAATACAAAAAATCAAACAGAAAATTCAGACTATATAATATGCTCTTACCTTTTGGAAAATTGGATACTCAGCCTTGTAACCTTTGTGCATGCAAATTCTTGTGCCTCTTGGCTTGCGCCAAGCTCTTGCTTTAGAAACTGATTTCAAGGAAATGCCAAGATCTATAGACCTTCAAATAGAAAATAAGACATGCATCTTTAGATCTAATTAATGTATCCATGGAAAAAGACTTAAATAAATAAAAATAAAAAAAATAAAAAACCCCGAAGGCGATTAACTGGTTTTGCATGAATAAAAAAAAACCGTCTGCAGTGATAATGTCAAACCAGAAATACTTGTTACAGTGCTTATCAATTAGACATGAGTCCATAAAATGAAGTCTCCAAACTATGATTTTGTATTCACATTTCAACTTCTCAGAGGTGTCTTCCTCAGCACTAGCTGGTAAAAATCAATGTTGGAGTACATGCACATTTCTTAGGTGTCAAACAAAGCCTAATAAAAATCTGCAGCTCCAAGTGACTGCATGCGGAGATATTATCATATCATTACCATCATATTCATTGGGCAGGTTTCCTACATTGATATGGATAACTCTATTCAAGTGCATTTCTTGGACACTCAAAGCATAATTGCTTCAAATTTCTTCAGACAATCGGTAAAATTTATCACGCCTCTTATTGAAAACAAGACCCACAAGCACAATAAAAGACGACACATATTTCAACTCAGTGGATGGGGAAATGGAGAGGCTGAAAGGCAGCTAACCTCTGCCCTGGTATTTGTTATGAACCTCAGTCAGCTGGTTATAATTTGCATATGTAAACCCACTGTTCCAACATCATCATCCCCATTTACACGATCAACGCACCCAGAATTAGAATTGTATGGAATTTCAACAAGAAACTCTATAAAGAGGAAACAAATTGAAGGCTGAGGAGAAGCACCATTTAGAAGCAACACTATCCACAAGCAGAACCTTTCCTTTATAGATGCTAAGGTCGACGTCCTCACCCCCGTAATCCTGCACCATCCCCACAAAATGAACCCAGAAAACCCATCACCAAATCATCCCCTTGGGCGCACATGGTCTACCATGCATGCATAACCCATTGGAAAGCTGAATTTACAGACGCACTTTCACAGTGCATTCGTGAATTGATCTTTGGGGAAGGGATTCAAATGCCCTCATTTCTCCGATGCGAAAGACCCGAAGGATGCTTCCTTTCCCGCTAAATATCTGAATTCTGAACTTAGAAATTCAGGTGTTTCTGGATTGTGAATTGCCTTTATCAAGATAGCAAATTCCTTTGGTATAGTTTGTTACATGGCTGAAATAATCTTCTATCAGCTAATGATGCCCTCTATAATACTTTGTTACTATTTTTGAAAAAGGAAGAAAAAAAAAAAAAGAATTAGTAAACCTCCTGCTCAGAAACCGGTGGAGGATGGCACCACCGGGAAGGTAATATACCCACCACCGAAGCACCAGGAGGGAAGATTAGAAACCCACTCCTGGTAGCCCCAGGTTCCCTTTTCCAACCACCATGGAAATAATTTCACCTACCCATCCAACTTAAAAATTAATAATAAGAAGAATAACCGAATACATCAAAACATCTTGTATTTACTAAAACTGAGACCTAAAAAGATCTGAAGAGGGCAGACGCAAACACGTCTATGAATACTGACAGTTTGATTATGTGATTAATTCCAACTCAACCAATGAATTTGCAGCAGTGTATATATATCATCTAAAAGGACTGTTTACAGTCACAAAAAGGGTATCAACTCTCTGGTCTAGAGTAAATACTTTCGACTGATGGCCCGGTAAAACTTTTGCCATAGTTCCTAATGGGAACTTCCAGGGAATAAATTATACTAGAAATGCAAAAAAAAAAAAAAAAATGGAGGAAAAAATTGATACATGGCAGCCTAGCATTTGATGAAGGCATAAAGCTCTCCCCCAAGTTCCACAATGACCATCTAACTATCCTCCACATTTGCAGAAGAGATGATACAGTACATATATTTACAAACCAGGCCAAAAAGCTGGTTTCCAGCTCCACACCAAACTGAAGATGTGTTCCTTGCAATGAATGCAGGATTGGACCAGAAAGAAACTCAACTCTTTTCAACCAATGGCTTAACTTGGGTCCAAAAAGGTTTATTACTGCAAGATGCAATAAAATAAAAATTAAAAATTAAGTTTGGCAATGCAGCAGATACTACAAAGTTAAAAGGGGATGACAACAAAAACATACCAACATTTTAGGTGTGGAAAACTTTTCATCATCTTGGCCACCACATGTTTGGAGCTGTAACACAGGAAACAAAATTATAAGCCAGAAATTTTGGCAATATGCCTATCGAAGAAGGGTATTGATGTTTTCATGAGTGTTCCTCATCATCAAGATTTAGTATCAACCAACAACATCACTAAGACTACAAAAGTGAATGGAAAATAATAATAATGAAGATTGTGATCAGGGTGATGATGGTGACAACTGAGCAGTGAAGTGAGCTAGCATATTATACATTAAGACAGACGCATATATTGGTAGCTTGGACACAAAAGTAGTAGACTACAAGGGAAAAGGTAGCTTGGACACAAAAGTAGTAGACTACAAGGGAAAAGAACAAGACATTGATGAACATTTTCTATTATGTTCCAAGGGCAGTCTTCCAGAAAAATACAAACCTCTTGACCCCACTGGAACAGAACCTTCTGGAGGTGGTCTCATAGGATAAGAATCTCGATGATTCATTCCACGAGGAAAATCCCAGCCTTGGTTTGGGAACCTTGTTGGCTCACATGGGGGGTGACCATACGAATCCTGTGGATAGGATGCTCTAACTCTGTCTGGATAACATGGACCTAATGACCAAAATATTGGACAGTTAGATGTAAATCACATATTCAAGAAACCAAAGCAAAATGACCGTTAAAACTCTGCTAAAATCTTCAACAATATAATTTAAGTCTCACCAGAGAAGGAGGGAGCCGGATCCCTCCAGCCCTCTCTATGTTCATATGGAGCTGGTTTCATTCTCTCATGACCACTGTAAAAGTTTCTGCCTTCACCATTTGGTGCATAGTGAAATCTATTGGAATAAGGAGGTGGGGCCTCCCTCTGAGATTTCATATGCTGGCCTGCATGAATGTATGAAAAATGATCTGATGATGCATGATAAGGAGGACAAGGTGGGTAAGCCTGGTTATGGAAGCTAGGGCAATCAGTTTGTTGCATATTGCTCACTGGAGGTGCAGGGTAACTATTATAGGAGCCACGGCATTCAGAAACCCGGCTTGGAGCATGAATATCTCTAGACTCAGGGCCTTGATAAGGCATGGCATTGGTGCACAATGTTGAATCCATTCTCGGAGGAACTGACGGTGGAGCCACAGGATGCCGCAGTTCATCCTGCCCATTCTGCAGAAATGACCAGTTTAAGAAGGAAATAATAAAATTCAATTGTAAGTTCACTTTTCACATGATACTAACAACTAATGAAAACTTGACAGATGATACAAACAGGTTGGATGCCCATTAATACTTACATAAACCTTTGAGTCGATGCCATTGGTGTAGGAACCAGACATTGGACATGGTGGAGCAATGACAGGGGGAGGAGGCGGAAGTGATGGCGGAGGAGGTGGTGGGGGTGGGGATGATGGCAAGGGTGGTGATGATGGAGGCACATCTTGTGGCAAAGGAGGAGCATAAGGCAATTGATAATGCTCCACAGATTGGTTCTGTGAAGTTTGTGCTGTATTAACTCCAGTAACATCACATGTTGAACTCATTTCAATTTCAGGAGCAACATCCTCCATTTCAAGCTCACCATCAACATCTTCCAAAATATGTCGACGCTTCTCAACTGCAAAGTTTGCTTCTCGTTCTTCAGGGGTTCCAGAATAACGTTCAGGAGTGACAGCCTCAAAACTCTCTCCATCAGAATCACTTCCTTCATCCTCATCCTTGATCATGCATGGCATGCAAAATCCAGGAAGCTGAAAACTTGAATTGCTGAGGCAAGAAAAATTATCTTAGTAACTGCAATTCTACAGACAAAACAATTAACCAAGAGTGAAGGAGATCAAAAAAATTCAAACCTGCCATATTCATCCATAAGCATACCCTCCATCTCTCTGACAGGATCATCAAAGGCCCTCTCTGTTCTTGCTGAGCGGCGTGAAAGTGAATCAAGTTCTCGTATATGTTCACGAATAACAGACTCTGGAAGGATTTTTCTTTCCAGCCAAACTCTCAAAACCTATACAAAAACAAAGGAACTTAGAGAAACCTAAAAAGGGACAAAAATAAGATAAGAATTTTAGATTTTAATATAAATAAGAGAAAGCAACTACCTTTAGGCACTGCCTACGATTATCATGCGCAATGGATCCAGGCGGAGCGGCAGCAGAGAGTAGGCGTGGCAATTCTGCTTGAATGGCTGAAGGATATATATCCCCAATATCACCTGGAAATTAAAAACTCAGCATAAACACAATCCCACCCACAATCCACATTTTATCTACCAGACAGCTTTCATATGTAGATGCTGCAACAGGATATTTTTCTTACTTAATAGTTAATTCATACCTTTCAAACCTCTGGAGCACTGTGTGATGGAATCCACAAGGAAGAACAAATCTACCCTTCTCTTTAAGCTTGTCTCTATTTCCAACTGACGAGCCAAAATTTCTACAACCTACGTTTAAATAATCAAGAAATTGAAACATTTTTAACAAATAAAAAAATAAATAAAGATCAACACCTTCTTGGCCTTGATATAAATACATCTTAAACTCAGAAAAACCCTGATAATTACTTTGGCAATTGGATAAAAAAATGCAAAAAAGAATAATTTAAAGCATCCAATTGAAGTTCGGACAAATCTACTACTCCAAAATGAAGATCGAAAAATGTTTAACAATATCCTCCCAAAATAGGAGCTATAATCACTTTCATGAATAATAACCGCAAACTGCATTCACATATATACAAACCTACCTACCCACAAGCTTGTGAAACTTCATACAGGAAGACACAGACAAAAAGGAAATGCCTGTGATGAATTTATAGCTCTTTCATGTTTACACAAGTCTTCAAGAGTTACCCATCTTTCTACGTGGTAATCTTCACATGATGGTTTGCTAAAAAAAACCCATTAATCTTTAACACTCTCCAGTATCCAACATCTATAGACACATTATTAATCAGAAAGAGCAGGATCTGAACACACAGTGTTCTCTGGTTTAGGTAGCATTTATAATTCATGGGAAATCAACTATCTCCTATCATTAAGAACCTAAACAGATAGTTAAGGGACTTCAAAATTGAAACAGAAAAAAGAAAATAACAACAAATGCAAAAATCTTACAATACAGTGATTAAACCTACTGAAATATTGATATGGTAACTGGATAAAAATTACAAAAAAAAAAAAAAAAAAAGGGAATAATTTAAAGAATCCAATTGAAGTTTGGACAAATCCACTACTCCGAAATGAAGATCGAAAAATGTTTAACAATATCCTCCCAAAATAGGAGCTAAAATCACTTTCATGAATAATAAATGCAAACTGCATTCACTTATATACAAATCTACCTGCCTACAAGCTTTGTGAAACTTCATACAGGACATCACAGACAAAAAGGAAATGCCAATGATGAATTTATAGCTCTTTCATGTTTATACAATACCCATCTTTCTATGTGGTAATCTTCACATGATGGTTTTGCTAGAAAAAAACCCATTAATCTTTAACACTCTCCAGTATCCAACATCTATAGACACATTATTAATCAGAAAGATCAGGATATGAACACACAGGGTTTAGGTAGCATCTATAATTCATGGGAAATCAACTATCTCCTATCATTAAGAACCTAAAGAGATAGTTTAGGGACTTCAAAATTAAAACAAAAAAGAGAAAATAACAACAAATGCAAAAATCTTATGATACAGTGATTAAACATACTGAAATCCTGACATGGAACTTTCTGGCATTATGGAATGCTTGGGCATTATAGAACCTTTTGGGTTCATCAGTTCTTAGAAACCACAAAAAGGATTTTTGAAAGTAATGGTACAAAAGACATGAAAATGGAAGAAAATGGAAAGGCAAACTTGAACCTACCTTAGCAGAGACACCAAGTTTTCCACAGTCAATTGCAATGCGTGTTGCACGAAGAATACTTTCCTTCGCCCTTGTTAAGGTTCCTAGCATATTCTCAAAGGATAACAGAGCAGCATGCACTTCTTGATAATTATTGCACTTGCTGACAGACCTTGGCCTGTCAAAGGCTGCAGATTCAGTTTTTCCTTCATCAGAAGCAGTTGAAACAGATAAATTTTTGTTCTGAATACAACGGACATTAGGACTACAACATCCATTGTCTTGACTAATATTAGCACTCTCAGAGGTAGATATGTGGCAAATTGAGGTATTGAGAGGAGAGACCCTAGCTGCAGAATCTACTCCATCAGTTGAAGGTGGACTAAACTGGCTGCCTAAGGCATCTTTGTCACTCAAATGGTCATCATAAATCAAACCAGAACTTCCATTCTTTTGCCTTCCTTTGTGTTGGACATCTTCCATTACCTCACCCCTAAAACAACCAAAGCAATGATATAAACATCATATATGTAGCAAATAAATAATAACCTGACCATTAAATGAGGAACTACTTTCGCAATCATGGACAGAGGTAAAATAGACAAGGATGGAAAATACTGTGCCTTTACGAAGAAAATTATTATGAAATAAGGATGAAAATTATTAGTTTCCCAACAGAGTATAAGAGAATCCAGATACGTAGACTTACATGCTATTAACTAAGCTGCTCTCATCAATATGAGACTTCAGTGACTCATTATTTGCACAACTGGTATGTTCAACAACACGCAGAGGTGTGTTTGCACCATCTTGAGGACAAACTTCAAGAGTTTTGTCAGTCCCTAGGCCAGCAAGATTAAGACTCATCTTGACATGTTTTGAAGTATCAAGTGGATCATCAGGATTTTCAAACCTATAATCCCTCAAATCAATATTTTCACCATTTTTCTCATCTTTTGAAAGCAATGGCTGGCCTGAAGAGCTAGCCTTACCTTTACCATGTTCTGGGGACAAAAGATCTAAATTTTGGTTTTGAACCACATGCTGTACAGTACAAGAATCAACAAGTGGCCCACCATCACTTTCTCGAACATTATGATTGCTGGTCTCCAGAACAACATGATCACAGAATTCATGTTTTTTGTTCTCAGGACTGGAAGGTTGATTGCAAGTGTCCGCTTCCATAGAAGATTTGGTGGGTTTGCCCAAACGTGTTGGGTTTGATCTGGAAACAAACCCAGGCGCACCATTTCCAAGTGAATCAACGCTACACACCTCCAAACTCTTCACCTCTTTTTCTTCAGCATCCATTTGACAAAATACCCCCATTGGAGAGCCAGAACAGCCATTAACTAGAGTTTTCAAGGTTGCTGAAGCTTCATCATGAGCTTTAACTTCTTCAGCAGCATTAGCCGACATAGCCTCCAGAGCACGATGGAGGCGTTTAGATGGAGGTAGAGCAGCTTCACCGTCAGCTGAACAGCCAAACTGATTTCTCGAAACTTTCCAAGGCTGTGGCATATTTCCTGAAACTTGAGTGCCAACTTTTGAAGGTGACAAATTAACTAAATCAGCCTTTGCCTCTATAGAGTCTCTACCAACAGGACTACCATCAAGATAGTTTGTTGATGGACTGATCTGCTTTGATGAATTGACTGCAATTTCATTGAAAGGGTTTTCTTCAGCCCTTGAAACACAATTAGACTCATCAGCAGATGATAGTTTGCCCATTCGGACCCTGGCACGTTTCACTAAAGGAAGGTGCTCATCACCATCTTCTTTGGTATAATTTACATTTGAATCATCACTGGTGTTTTGTGAAGTTTGCCTGGTATCATGCATCTCTACCTCCAAATTAGCTTCTACCTCACCTCTAGCTTGAGACTCAGCAGGATCATCAGCAGCACGCTTTCTGTTTTGTTTCCTCTTCTTCTTAACAATGGACTTTATTTGGAAATCAAGTACCTTACTCAGCTCAAGATCCGCATCCAAACACCCAAGAACAGACTTGAGATGTTCAACTTTACAGCCAGAGTCACTAGTGCTGCCTTCATTTAAACTAACAGTGTCAGATTCAACAGTGGCAATTTCAGAACCATTATCATCACTACTACCATTTGAAACAAATAAGGATGCATCCACATCATCCAATGGAGAGGCATCTGGTGATTTCTTGATTCTTTTGCTCCTCCTGAAAGATCCATCCTGGCTTACCTTAGACAATTCATTCCCAGCATTCTTGCCACCATCATTAGATGACATCATTGAGTTTCGGAATCTAGATGATTCCAACCTTAATGAATTTCTAGTCCTCTGGACAGATGGTGCCTTCCACTGTCCAGCAGATTTATTGGATCGCAATCCCCCAGATCCTTTTCTTGATGAGTAAGTAGTCAAAATAGGTTTTTCTTTAGCCAACAAATGATCTGCAGGTTGCACTGGTACTGATTCTTTATCACACAAATCATCCATCTTTGCTCCAGCTGGGGTATCCTTGGTAGGAAGACTTGGATCATTTCCATCAGTGATGGAATTTGAATTTTTTAAATCTAGCATTGCCTCAGAAGTGTCATTGAGATCCTTCAATCCTGGTGAGTCCACTGAATTGCCATCATTTGCCAGGGCAACTACATCACCAGAGTTGGAATCATCAGCCTGTTTCTGCTTCTTTGACTTCTCATAACAGTCAATGATCTCCTGTACTGCACGCACAAAATCTGCACTCCTCCCTTGGCGCTTGACAAGAAGTGATTGTTTCTTCTCTTCCGTAAATGGCTCTACATCAGCAGGATTGCAGAAGGCTCTGCAAGCAAATTATCCATTGACTAAAGAAAGCACACTATGTCCAAACTAAATGCCAAAAAAATATATATATCTAAGCAACAATGATCAACAGAAAAATAATATCCAACAGAAATAGAAACGGCACCATGATTGAAAAGACCAGTCCACAGAAAAGGTTAAAAAGAAACAAAAGCATTTTATGAAGCATCAAGGTCAACTTAGAAACCACATCTGACCACTTCTCCTATTGCTCTGATTCAATTAGTATTCTACTCAGGGTCTATTTCAAGGGAATAGATTCCCCTAGATCAATGGCAGGGCCTCAGTAACCTATTAGGTAGTGGCACCATACCACCATAGAAGCCCCAAGATCCTCTGCCCCCTCACTAATTAACAAAGGATTGTCACTCGCTCAATGCCATGAAAGTGTAAAAATAGGTATTGCAAACGCTGACCTCACAAGCAAAACTATTCCAACCTGATCCAAATTTGGCCTATAATAAAATTCAGAGTCCCCTGTTTTGCAGTCTGGATGGCAAAACAGGAACAATTGGTTGGGGAAACATTGTTCATATGATGTTTGCTTGTTTTGTTGTGTGCTTTGTTTAGATTATCATGGATTGCATGTAAAGGATGCTTTATGTTGTTTTGGAGTATTTCTTATACTCCCAAGTAATATATTCAAGATCTGCTTTGCTAATCAAAATCAGATAGGGGGACAACCGCCAAATATCAAGGGTGGGTTTAAGTCGTGCAGTCTGGACTGCACAACACTTTTTATGTAAATTTTATAAAACAAATATACAGGACAAACTAGCTAATAGCTTTTACTATATGTTCCATTTGCATCCTATTCAACGTACATTTCCTGTAAGATGCTTAAAGAACAAAACACGACCTTATTTAATTTCTCAAAGTTTCCTGCATTGATCCCCTTTTTCTCAAGAAAAGCCCTCTCCTTCAAAAAAGTTGAACATTCATCTCTCAAGGAGGCCACCACTAAAACATCACCCTGACATTCTCACCATCCCCAAAGATCCACTAAACTAAACAAAATACTATTTCCCTTTGTTCTAGCAAAACTTTTAGCCTTTTTCTCTATCAAGTATGCCTTTGATCTACCATTCCATTCCATCCCTTAAGTATCCAAACCAACATCATTCACGTGGTCTCCCTTTCCTAGATACTTTGTCCAGCAATTCTTTGCCAGGAATGTTGGATTTGATTAACTTTTCTCTTCTTTTCCATCTTTTTAGTTTTTCATCAAAATGGTAGGTTTAAACCAATAGTAATACCTTTTTCATTTATCCACAAATTAAAAGAACATAAAGTTGTGTGCGTCAAATAGATATATTGTTTTGTATCCACTCATGATGAAATTTGACCTTTTCAATACAATAACTCCTAGCTTAAGGCCAAAAAAATATCAGTCATAGTCTATTCCCAATTTTTTTGTCTTTCTTTCTTGGTGGGGGGTGGGGGGGGGGTGAAAAATACATAGCTTTTCCATTCAGCAAACCAAATAAAGATAACCATTTTCTACTTTATTCCATTCCTACCTCACCCCATTCCACAAACCAAACATGATGCAAGGTTGGTTCCATATGAGTGCTTAGGTTCTAAAAAGAATTTCATCATAAATTTATCCTATTTGATGGTTCCTTTTATCTTCTCAAAAATCCAATTAAGAGAAGTAATAGGAAAATGTCAACTAACCTTCCACATCAAACCGAAAGAAAAGTCATCCAGCTTCTCTGAGAAATGAAAATATACAATCGCAGACAATCAATGAATTATTGAACTTGTGAACTCCAGATAATTGATTGACAATGTCATGAGGCTTTTCTAATCAGTGCAATGTTGCCTAATAAGATTTCCACTCAAAAAATGTAATAAATAAATTCTACTATAACTTCACATTCATTTATGAATTTACACACAAGTAGAAAGGAAACTAATTTCATCTCACTTTTCCCTTAGTGACAACACAATATAACCCTGATTTGGAGTTAGCATACTGGTGCCTTGTACGTAGTGACAAAAAAAATTCACTATGCTGTAAATCCTGGTCATATAATTAAATGAAGAATTGCTTAATGAATCATCTAACACAAGAATGCCAAAGGCTAAACAGTATCAAGGACAAGAACCTAAATTATCTTCCTTAGTCAGAACAATCAACTCATGCACAATCACCAAAAATTCCATCAAGATCTTAGTTATGTCAATGGGAACAAAAGGAGGAAAAAAAAAAAAAAGGGAGCAATTAACAATAATAGTGCAGTTACATATGGCCACTTAATGCATCAATGCAAACAGAGAAATGGTTGGGAGTGAGATGTAACAGGGGAGTTGCTTTGCGAAACAACAAATTAGAAAGCAAATAATGATATCAAAATGCACACTTACATTTGCTGTGTTCCAAAAAAGTAAACCAGTACTTTCTTCCAATCAGATGAATAGCCCCACTTCTCTGGCTCACTTACCTGCCACCAGCAGAAATAAGATATATAAGCCCAACACAAGCTGGTTATAGCACAGGTAGAAATTTGCGGAGACTGTTGAAGTTTGGGAAGTGATAAGACTGATACAAAAAGAAAACATTAATAAATAGTGTTCAAAGAAACCAGGTTTGGTCGGCATGAGAAACTGAAGTAAATAAGTTACCATGGGTCAAGGGTCCGATAGAACACGGATTGCAGATTGAAACACCTCTCCCAAGCAAACTAAAATAGAAGTTAACCAACCAAGATCTTATTTACCACAAAAACTCTCTACCAACAAAATAGGTTAAAAAGGCAGATAGCTTACCGATCAGACAAATTGATGGATATTGAAATATCAATTTTAGAGACACCACACTATGACATAAAAAAAAAAAATAAAACAAACAAAAAAAAAAAGGGGAAAAAGCACCCTAGATGAGTTAAAAAAAAAAAAAAAAAAAGAATAATCATCCAATAATAAGAGTTAAGCTTCAATCCTCACCCAAATATCAATTTCATGGACGATGCATAAAATAAACTAACATGCAACACCAAGACCCTAATCGTTCACTATTCCCAAACCCCAAATAACAAATACGAGCGGGAAAGACTATAACTTTACACAAAACAGGATAGATAGCAGCATGATTCCACACAGAAACAATCATCTAAACACTTGGAGAGACAAAAAGAATGCTGCCGAAAGTATTTCATACCGTGGCAGGCCAGGCAGGAAAGCCTTTGACTTTAGCAAGGACGAGATCGCCGACCTTCCACTGGCGGCGGGCGGCGGCAGCAGCAGCAGCTTTAGAGGCGCCTTTCCTTCGGCTGGGCGCCATCTCAGAACCGATCAGACAACCAATCTAAACTGAAACCTATCCCAAAATCACCCCAAAGAAAGCGAACTCCAGCACTCCCTAACGTTCTCACACCACGATTCCGCACAAAATTTTGCAGGCATTTGAAGAGCCCTCCCCCAAAATCTGGAACTCCAGAGCGAGAGTGTGCGCGCAACTCTGAGTCGGCAGCGAACCCTAATTTAGTGCTGTGTCGATTTTTTGGAAGAGTTTTTATTGTTTTTGTGGAAGAAAAGAAAAAGGAATGGAGAAGATAATGGAAAAATCCTCAGATATTGAAATTTGGTTGGTCGAGTGCTACAGTGAGCCTACGGTGTGTAGGTTAAGAGTAGAGAGAGGCGGTGAAGGGTGTTTGCTAAAGTACGCTGTTAGGGTGTAGGTTAAGTGAATCTGGTAAGGCCCGCTTAGATTCTGCGTGCGAAATCCAGTGACCTAACTACTAACGACAAGGGTTAAGATATTAATTTTATCTCTTAATTTTTATATTTATATTAAAATTATTTTTTAATTTTAAAAGTTATTAAAATTATCTTTTAATATTAATTTTTAATATTAAAATAGTTTTTAAACTTTAAAGATAATATTAA